TTAAAGATCTTGACCTCATCTCATTTTACGTACAAGTGTATAAAAACAATATTTTTTTAAATACCTTGCTTTAGCTTGCTACGTGCTTAGTGTGCATCGAAACTTGAAAGATCGCTTTCAAAACAAAGTAAAGATCTTTAAAAAAATTACACTTTTGTCATTCGCTTTGCTTTTGGCAATGCAGGTTTGCAAATTAATTGCCTTTGATAATTCATTAAATATTTTACGTTTGGTTCCAGCTTTCTGCATGCTGACCGAGACCGTCTTCTTCGAAGGATGATAATACCATTCCATTTGGTACCTCAACAACAATTCCAAGAGTAGCTGAAAACGCTATGTCAGGTGGTCGCAAGAGACTCGAAGAAGTTCTTTTCAAAGAGTATATTAATCTTTTAAACCCTTGTTTGCAACGCAGCAATCAAATTGCTAAGAATGTGTTAGCCGATCCTTCTATGACAAATATAAAGAGTTCAGCTATGCAGTATGAAAGAAATATACTTACGAAATATGTGAAAAGCTCTAAGGAAGTGTTAACAGCGTTTTTGCGATAAAAATGATCACAACAATCGGTTTTTCTTCGCTATGGGTAAAGATTTTGTACTAGAAGATTTCAACGGCTTCAACCGACGGCGTGCCTCAACGACTTATGAGCTTACTCCAGAAGAAAAGGTATCATGGGAAACTCTAAAGAAGCATGGTGCATTAGAGTACACCGAAGACATGGAGAAACGCTCGAAAGACTTCGGTTGCCATTTAGTAGATGAATTCGATAAATATATGAAATCACTTTTAGCTTCCGAAAAATAGAAGGAAAAGCAAGTGGCCAAGAATGAGCTTAATATGGATAAAGCTGAATTTGGTGGAAAAATGGTTTATTCAGTTATTTCAATACGAAACCTAAAAGTAATAGTATTTTTACTCATTTCAAGATTTCTTCTTTCAAATACCCCTGCTTATAATATGTAGCAGCTGGGATCTAAAAGACGATGAAGGCCTTCTTGGAATTTATAAGATTTATTCATTAATATTTAGTCGCACATCGTAAATGGAAGCAGAGCCAAACAATTCGAAATTATGCAGTTGACAAATTTCATACATTATTTTTCTTTAAGTGACAAAGAATTTAAGTTATTGAGATTTTTTTCAATTAATTGTCTTTTATATATAAGAAATTTTTAGAGTATTTTTCCTTTCAAGGAATTGTATAGGGAAATCTTAAATTGGATGATTTACTCTCAATCTCACTTACTCTCAATCTCAGCGTGACTCAAGTGGACTCATTTTGCATATAAATACCTTGCGTAAGCTTACTGCGCTTTTAGTGTGCAGAAGCATCGAAACTTGAAGAGTCTTTGAATTGGTCAGAAGAAGTAAAAATGTTTAAGAGCATTTCGTACCTTGCATTTAGCTTGCTGTTGCTATTACAGGTCTGCAATATATACAAAAAATGTAATTTTGTTTATGGTAAATTAACACTTTAGTTTTTGTCTCAGCTATCTTCAAGCTTACCAAGAAAGTCTACTTCGGAATCGGAGGAAGATAATACCATTACACATGGTACCTCAACACAAATGCCGACAGTAGGTGAAAGTGCTATTTCAGAAGGTCGCAAGAGGCTCGAAGCGTTTGCTTTTAAAGGTATATAAATTATTTAAACTATGGTTTGCGACGAACCAATCAAATCGCGAAGGAAGTGCTCGCTGATCCTTCTATGTACAGTATCGACAGTCAAGCTATGGAAAATGTAAGAGATATACTTATAAAATATGTCAAAGCCTCAGACGAGGCGTTAAATGATGTTCTTCTCATTGGTAAAAGTGAGAGGGACAATCGCTTCTTCTTCGGCATGGGTAAAGATTATGTGCTTGAACAATTCAATTGAACAAGTACCTCTTTCGTACCTATAGAAAAGCTTACACCAGAACAAAGGGTTACGTGAGACACTTTAAAGAAGCATGGAGTATTAGAATATTCCGAAGAAAAGGAGAGACGGTCGAAGAACTTCGCTCTTAACATAGTAGATGAATTTGAGAAATATATGAAAGCCCTGCCAGCGGCCGAAAATGAGAAAAAGAAGGAATTTTCGGAAGTTTGGGATATGTAGTCAAAGAATGAGCTTGGGTTCGACAAGCTTGAATTTGGAAAACAATTGTTTATACAAATATTCGATTACGAATCAGAAATATAGAAAGAAAGAAATATTTTTTGTACAATGTTATCTTTTGAACTGTAACAAATAAATACTGAACTGTTCATATGAGCATATTCATATGTATTCGTATGAATAGAATTTTGATCTAAAAATATTTATGTTATTTTGCAAGATTATTTAATTAAGATATAGAACTTCATTTTTCTCTTTACTTGGAACTCTCTGTAATTCTTAAAGTGAGTTGAGTAAAATTCACATTATTAACCTTCTCACTTTTATTTTAGTAAGCTCAAAACCTACTGATAAATATTATTTATTTATTTATAAAACGTGAAACAATAATACAATTACTTTTCCACGAAAAAAGGAGCACTGGATGCCAGGACCTTCGGCCGGTGCTGATAAGTAAGTTCCCAAAAAAGTAAACGCAAGGGGTTAAATCGGCTGAATCGACCAAATTATTCACTTAAGTAGAGCACTGTAACCATTTTGCGCTTTCACTGTTCTGGCCAATAGAAAAATTTTCGTCTTCTTTAGAGCAGATTTTCTGGGTGAAGTTTACTGTTTTCACTGTTTCGTGGTCTCTGTTGTTCAACTATTGTTTCGAAACCATATACACAACCCTTTCAGTTGCGTTTAAACAGCTGCAAACATATGATATGAAGCAGTGTTACATTTGCCCTTGTTGTCCTTAGTGAAAAGACGCAGCACCCATCACGTCGACAGCTTTTTCATACCCAATATTACGCAAGATGCTTCAGCTTTTCTGTGCGCCTTCGAAAGGCTTTTTTCTAAGTTATCCTTCGTATTAGCCGTTAGGGACACTTGGGGGTGCTTCTTAGCAAACCGACTCGCAACCAAATTGAAGCTTATTCCGTCAATTCTTTACTCCCAGAAATTTTGTATTTTCTTTAAAATTTTGAACGGACTGCATATACAAAAGCTTTCCAAAATAAACAGGTCTTTTTGAATCTAGCGTCCCCTGGCGGCGCCATCTATATGTCGACTGGTGCGTTAGAATATGCTATCTTTATTGATTATCAAGTTATCATGACATTTCATTGATTGAAATTGCGTTTTAAGTGTCAGTAAGTTTGTGTTATCGGTGCGAAAATGAGCTTCGAACAAAAAGCCAACATTAAATTTTGTTATAAAATTGGTTAAACTTTAATCGAACCGTTTCAATTGATGAAACAGTTTATGGCGATGATTGCCTATCTCGTAGCAGAGTGCGCGAGTGGTTTCAACATTTTCAAAGTGGTCGTGAGGACATAAATGACGATCAACATGTGGACCAATGAAAATCCGTGATCACCGGAAACTTCATCGAAACTGTGCGTGAATTCATCAAAATCAGCCTAAATCATCATTGAAATTCATGGAAATGGAATTGAACATCTCCAAAACATCGATTTATCACATTTTGATCGAACATTTGGGCTTACGAAAGGCATGTGCACGGTTTGTTCCGCACAAATTGACTGACGACCAAAAATTGCTCAGAATCCGTCTCATCGATCGACGCTTGTGACCGATAATTTGACCTAAAATTACATTTTAACCATTAACCACTCCCCGTATTCTCATGATATGGCACCTTGCGACTTCTTCCTTTTCGGAAAAATGCATTTGCCCATGAAAGGAAAGCGTTATGCAGACGTAGAGGATATTCAAAAGGTTTGCACCGGCATACTGACGTCCATACCGGCCAATGAGCTAAACACTCATTCGGCACGCTTTTGGACCGTGCAATAAGCTGTATTGAAGCAGAAGCAGACTATTTTGAATAAAATAAATTGATTTTGCCGAAAAAACCATTTGTTCAGTGTTTTTTTAAGTCCTGTTTACTTTGGAACGCTCCTTCTACACCCATCCTTAGTGTAATTTAGTGCTACTAAAAATTTATGTATGGACTTTGAATACTAAAAAAAAAAAGGCAAGCGAAATTTATTGTAATTTAGTACTACGTGTATGTCATATGTGGGAAAATACATATACGAGTATGTACATATGTATATGCGGTTGTGTGCGAAAATATTTGACAAGGCTTCTGAGCAATTCTTCATGCAAAATATACTATATAAAGAAAAAAGAAGATTACATGATAGTTAAATTTTCGTTAAATTTAATTTTCATATTTACCGTTCATTTTAATTACTTTGATAATCGGGTTTATTCTTTTTCTCAAATGATTTTGTTTAACTTTTAGGCTTTATTTAATTTGGTGTAAATTTGTACATTAGGGTGCACGATATTTTTTGCAAACGCCGCCTAAGGTTTCAGCTTTTCTATTAAAAACGAATCCAACATGCTCTTCATCGAAGGCGTATTCTTTCCTATATGTGTATACAACATTGAAGTTTTTGATAAATATTTTGCATGTAACCTTAAAAGAATATATTCTGGTACAAAGTTTCCCGCTTTACAAATAAATGCTTTAAAATGTCTAAGAAGTGAAAGTTCTACAGCTTATTTAGGTTGAATCCTCTTTTTACGGCAAAACGTGGAATTTGGGAGGAGTTCTCAGAAACAACCCGTCTTATGGAATAATGACCACCCTTATTCTCTTATATACTTGTATGTAGTTTCAAAATTGTTGTTTTAATTTTGAGTAATAGTAAGTGAATAATAGGAATATAAACACTGTATGTATATAAGTATATATATAATCCTATAAAAATTATGACTCAAATGCAATGTACCGTTAAAAACCTTGAACTTATTTTTGCCGAAATAAATGCAAAAGTATGTATTTATTTTTGTTGTTACTCAAAGACTTTCAAGTCGTGTCTCGATTTCGCATATAAATACCTTGCGGAAGCTTGCTACGCATTCAGTGTGCAGCGGAACTTGACAGATCWCTTTCAGTAAAACGCAAAAAGGGAAAATGTTTAAGCGCACTTCCTACATTGTAATCTTCTTACTATTGCTAATACAGGTTTTAAAAATAAACAGAAAATGTAAATGTTATTAAATTTAAATAAATATTCCATGTTTTGTTTTCAGCTTATTTCATGCTTACCAAGATCATCTTCCTCCGATTCAATCGAATCCATATTAACTGGAATTACAACGATAACTCCATCAGTAGGTGAAATTGAAGTGTCAAGCGGTCACAATAGCTTTGAGGATGCGTTCCACAAAGGCTTAATAAATTTTCAAAATTTTCGTCTGCAACGAACCAATCAAATAGTCAAAGATGTGCTAGCTGATCCTTCTATGTATAGTATTGATAGTGAAGCCATGCAGAAAGAATTAAGTCTACTTAGAAAGTATGTGACAGACTCTAACGAAGCATTAAATAAGGTTCTGCCTGCCGACCAGTTTGGTCCGTACACTCGTTTCCTCTTTGCAGGCGATAAAGATGTTGTCATTCAACGCTTCGACAGATTTAATCGGTCACATGCTTCTAAGACCGAACCACTTACACCGGAACAGCGGGTAATAGGGGATGCTTTAAAGAAACGTGGCGTGTTGGAGTACGATAAAGAGGTGGATAAACGTTATAAAGAATACTTACACTACTTGGTAAATGAATTCGAAATATATGTGAAAACACTCTCAGCCGCAGAAAAAGAGAAGGATAAAGATATGAAAGATATGATGGCGGCATGGAATGCATATACAAAGCATGAGCGGGGAATGGATAAAACTGCTTTTGGGCAAAGATTATTTCAAATAAATTGGAAGTTATAATAAACATTGATAAGGCCCTTAAGAGACCGAAGAAATACTGTTTTTGGAAACTGGCATTATTCAATATCTATTCTTACAGAAGAAAAGAAATGTTTTGATTAAAAAATAGATAGTGATCCATTTCAAGGTTTCCTACTTTTTTAAAGCAAAAAATAAAGAAACTTTAAATGTAATGGGGAATATTTATTATCATTTGAAAGAACATTCTCTGGGTCGCCAATCGACCGGCCCAAAATGTAAAATTATCTCTCAATAAGTATAAGAGTTGTTGACAATACGGGTTCGATTTGAGATTTTGGAAATATGTGTGAATCTTAAAGTAAATGATTTTTTACCAATCTCACCGAATACATAGCAAAAGAATATCGACCGTGAATTTCGGTTTGCTTACCGTAATTTCACCAATACAATTTTCGCTTGAAGCTGTCACAAGTAACACTCGTTTTTGAAATCGATCAATTTTCTAGCGATTTGCAGATGGAAATTCGGTCCATGAGTGTTTTTTGTGTTGACTTGTGTGGCACCCATATAACGGGCCTTTTTTGTATCCAGTCCATTTAAGTGGTACCAAATGGTATATTTTACAATTGACAATTGAATTCGACCACAAAATTACTTGAACCTTATGAGCGGTCTTCGATTCGATAAGCGTTACTCTGCAGCAAAAAAACTTGCTCTTACCTTTTATTTTGGGTTTTTATGTATTTATATATTTAAGTCTAATGTTTAAAAAATTCTAGAAAGAAAGAAAGAAGAATTTTATATTTTCATTTGTCATTTAAACCACTCACAATAGTAAAACGGATCTAAAATATGCAAAAAAAAAAAAAAATAAAATTGTTAATTGAGTAGACGCATACTCTGTTGTACGAATTCAGGTTAGGTTAGGCATCACTGTTCAGGTGAATAGACAAGTTTTCGCCTCCTTCAGAGCAGATTTTCTGGGTGAAGTCTACTGTTTTGACTGTTCCTTAGTGTTACATTTGCTCTTAGTCAAAAAATGCAGCACTCATCACGTCGACAGCTTTGTCACACCCAATATTTGCTACAAAATATAACCCTAACGATCTCGTGAGGAGCTTCAGTTTTTCTGTGCGAGTCAATGGAATTTGTTTGGTTATCTTTCGCGTAAGCCGTTAGGAGCAGTTGGGCGTGGCTCATAGCAAACCGACTTGCTACCACATTGAATCTCAATATCGAAACACTACTTTGAAGATTAAAAAAATTACATAACGAAATATACTATAATTTAATGGTACATATCTATCAGATACAGATATTGGGTAGGCTTTTCGTTTTTTGTCAATACATATCGTTGCAGGCGTATATCTCCACTACCACCAATCACATGGTGTCATACCGTATTGTGTTCGAAGGGTGAGATTTTAAGCTTTATTGAACMAAAAAAAAAAAAAAGAAAATTAAATTCGAGAAAGTTGAAAAAAAGTTGCAGCTGTTAAAAAATTAGTGAGAATAATGAATAAATTCGCTATATTTTGAAATTTTTGTATGAAAAGGAGAAGGATGTCTCGCAACCCACCAATGCAATTTATGAAGTTTACGGATGCTGTATCAGTTCGTGTACCATCACAATGGTTCGATCGCTTCCGTTCTGGATATTTCGAAATTTTGCTTCACAGTTATGAAAACTATCGGAAAAAAGGCAAAAAGTGGTCGAACAAAATGGTACATATTTGTTTATTTATTTGTGGGTATAAATATAAAAAATAAGTTGAAGTTTGATTAGCAATACAAAATGTTTTTTTTTTTTTTCAATGAAAATGAAAAGAAAAAAGAAGAGCACACTTCGAAATAATTCGATTAGCAGACATCTTTGAATCTTGAAGAGTATGATTTATTGCTGTTCTCGAAAAGAGATAGCACTTCATTAAATTTTATTTTCATATTTATTACATTCTTTATAGTCTTCCTACAAAGTATTAAGTTTTGTTTTAATTACTTTGATAATCGGGTTTATTCTTTTTCATTAATGATATGGTTCATCTTTTAAGACTTTATTTAATTGGTCAAATTGTTGATATGTACATTAGGGTGTACCTTATTTCACAAGTCGATTTTTTTGCAAACTGTCCCCGAAGTTGAAGTTTCTGCGCTGAAAAGGGATCCAATGTTAACAAGTTCTGCATTTTCAATATGAAAAATGTCCCAGTCATATTTTTTCCCATGTGTGTATATAATATTGAATTCTGCAAACTTAAAAAATTGTATTCTGGTACAAATGTTCCCGCTTTATAAAAAAATCCTTTAAAAGTTTCAAGTTCTACAGCTAATTTTGTTTGAATGATCTTTTTACGGCAAAACCTGGATCTTGAGAAGTGTTTGCAAAAAACAAATCAGCTTGTGCAATAATGCACCCCCTAATGCTCTTATAAAGATTCGAAATTGTTGTTTTAGTTCTAAGTAAACGTAAATGATAAGAATATAAACAAATTGGCTCAAATGGTATGCACCGTTAAAGATCTTGAACTCCTCTTATCTTTGTCGAAATGTATGCAAAAATATGTAGTTTTTTTGTTACTCAAAGACTTTCAAGTCGTGTCTCGATTTCGCATATAAATACCTTGCGGAAGCTTGCTACGCATTCAGTGTGCAGCGGAACTTGACAGATCRCTTTCAGTAAAACGCAAAAAGKGAAAATGTTTAAGCGCACTTCCTACATTGTAATCTTCTTACTCTTGCTAATACAGGTTTGAAAAATAAACAGAAAATGTTTTTGTTATTAAATTTAAATAAACACTCCATGTTTTGTTTCAGCTTATTTCTTCCTTACCGAGATCATCTTCCTCCGATTCAGTGGATTCCATTTTAAATGAAATAACAACGATAACTCCATCAGCAGGTGAAAATGCATTGCCAAGCGGCCACAACAGCTTTGAGGAAGCGATCCGCAAGGACTTAATAAATTATGTAAACTTTGAGCTACAACAAACCAATCAAATAGCCAAAGATGTGCTCGCTGATCCTTCTGTGTATAGTATTGATAGTGAAGTTATGCAGAAAGAATTAAGTCTACTTAGAAAGTTTGTGACAGACTCTAAGGAAGCATTAAATAGGGTTCTGCCTGCTGAACAATTGGGTTCGAATACTTTTTTCTTGTTTGTAATCGATAAAAAGATTGCCCTTAAGGGTTTCAACAGATTACGTTTTTTTGAGTTCAAACAACATATACCGGAAAAGCAGCTAATATGGGATGCTTTAAAAAAACATGGCTGGTTGGAATACCATGAAGAGGTGRATAAAMRWTMYRAWGAATACTYWCWCTACWTGGTARAYRAATTCGAAAWATATGTGAAAACACTCTCAGCTGCTGAGAAAGAGAAGGATAAAGATATGAAAGAKATGATGGCGGCATGGAATGCATACAAAAAGAATGAGATTAGTAAACCTAATTTTGGGAAGATATTGCATAAAATAAATATTCAGAATAAGTTTAATGAGTTTTATCTCTAACTAAAAAAGTATATTGATTAAAAAATAATATATCTATGTATTATATATTAAAAGTTAGCCCATAACTTGTTTAACTCTGTAAATTGTAAACCGAAGTCTTTATATTTGAAATGTTAATTAAATGACAACCCTGCTCCTACGAAACAAAAAACGAAAAAATCCGTATCTAACGAGTAATATGACGATGTAATGCTTAAAGTATTGTCATTACATTTAATTTAATTATTGTTGATTAGCTGAATTCGCACAACATAAACTGTAGTATCTGTGTTTGTCCAGTGTCGTACCCAAAAATTTTACACCAAGGGGTGATTAGTCATTTGTTGGTAAAAGTAATCGAGTATTTAAGAAAAATTGAGAAGCTAATTAAAAGTACTGTGAAGAATATCTTATGAAATTAGATTTTTATTTTTAATGTATTTCATGGGGTAAAGATAGAGGGAGAGGATTGCCGAGGGATCGCGTCACAAACAAAAAATAGTTTAAGTTTATTGACGTGCTTTTTCACCAAACCCACGCTCCGAAATAGTCATCTAAAATGAGGGGGTAAAGATGGAAACAAACACTTATTTTAAAGGATTCTCGCTTTAAACTGTCGAAAAGCTTTTGAAAAGTTGGAGGACTGTTACTCACTCATTTATTTCTTTAAAAAAAATTATGGAGACATCTGTATTTTCATTCATCAAAGACCTTTCAATCAATGTCGTCCAAGAATTACACACATTTTGTGTAATTAATTACTTCTTCATACATTTTCGGAGAATTTTGACGAGATGTCAGCAATTAACCAAACAGTTGGTTGGGGTCTACAGCCGTCACTGCCGGCTCTGCATCCGCGTCGCAGTGACTATTTGACCTTTGTTCGTCAGTTTGGGTGTTTTTTGTCGGGCATACATTCATTAGACTATCAATTGAAGCGTTTGCAATAAATTAAAAATTAGATGAATGTTATTAGTAAACATGCCCATCGCCAAGTATAAATGCCTGGACAATTACTATAACTGTGACTAGTGCATTCTACTACAGCGTGCAGTATTTACTAACCGAGAGAAATTCAGTGACAAACAAAATGACGAATATATTCTGTTTTTTTGTACTCGCAGCTTACTTGCAGGTTTGCAGGAAATAAATTCCTATCATCTTCCTTTTGTAATTCATTTGCAAACTTTTATTCCGCTCCTAGTTTGTATTTTGTTTGCCAACTACGCAAACTCAAAGTGGTCTCAAGGACAGCAGCAGCACGGAGCAGAATGGACTGATACCGGCGAAGAGCACTCTTAAGCCCACGGCTTTGACTTTGGAAGAGCAAAACGCAATAACGCGCGAACGCAAACGACTTTCGGCTATGATAGCCGAAGGCGAAAAGAAACACCATCAATTTCTATTAAAAGGTAGCAATAAAATAACCAAAGAAATACTTGCCGATCCTGCAATCAATAATATAAACAGCGTAGATCGTAAGAAGGAAAAAGCAGTGCTCGAACAATTTGTGCGGGATTCCGATGATATCATTGACGATACGGATAGGAAATGCGTTATACGTGTGCTTAAAGACTTTTACACGTTTACGAACGAACACTTTTTCAGCAAAAATAACCTTACGAATGTAGATGATATTTGGTTCAAAGTTTTGAAGGCACATGGTATGGATCAGTTCGACGCTGACGAAGCCGAATTATTGAACCAAATCGGTTACCAGTACGCTGATGAGTTCGATAAGTATTTGAAGTCGCTTTCGCCAGCAGGTCTCGAGAAAGAAAAGGATTTAGTGTATGTCCAGGAGACTTATTTGGAGAATAAAGATATTATGGATAAGGCGAGTTACGGATTTCGATACGTGAATTTTTTTAACAAACAAAAAACAGATGTGTAAATTAAATTTTATTTTATTATGAATGACGTAGTAAAAATGAATTTGTAATAAAAACAATTTTTTTTACGCAACTCAGTTTTCGCCACCAGTGTAATTTTACAATGTATATATGTTATTACGTCCAATAGCGTTATATTTTTTGGTTTCTTATCACTGTTAAAAATATGAACTGAAGACACGTACTCTTATATATATATATTACACACTACATATAGCTTACAACATAAATAAATATGTGCATGTATATACACTAACAACTAAGTTTGTTTACAGCCGTTAATTAGATAATAAGCCGCTAATACTTTTAACTGTAAACATGTTTTTGCTTGACTATTAGTAATCAAGTTGTTTATAGAATCGTGCCAAAGTGTGTTCAGAAAAATCATCTTCTCAGTAGGCTCCCATTTATGGCTTAGTGGCTTCCTCAATAAACAAAATCGACACAATTGGGGTGTATGAAATCGTCAGTGATCATGCGACTTAACGCCCATAGATTATTTTCTCTGCAGGTAAGTGTCCCTGTTCAGATGTCAGCTCTAATGGACTTTACGTTTCCGCGCACATTAGAAAACATGAGAGTCGAATGATCTACAAATTGATAACTTTGGCGATAATTTCATAAAAATTGAGCCGATGTTGGGTTTCGATGAAATTTCGAACTTATTGTAACAAAGATCTATTCGCTTCATTAGTTTCATTAGTCTCGAGTAGCAACACTAATAAAATGTTGTTTATAACGGTGGCATTTATAGATTTTACTGCAGTTCCGCTAACTCTTTTCTTCAATAGGGTAAAAATCAAGTATGGGTATAATTGCACAACAGACAGAAAAAAAGTTAAGTGCTTCATAAGGTGATATTCATGAATAAATTTCAGGAAAGAGAGTGGATTTGCTACAACGTCGCAGTCGTTGTTATTGGAATATCATTATATATTTTTTATAACAGGTTAATTGGCCTCATACATAGATACCGCCATTAGAATTAAATCTATAGGGTTTAAGGTAGCCGTAATCTTCCAAAAGCGCTTGTATAAATTAATTGACAGTAAAACAAACCACGAAGGAGTGGTATGCTAAGTTTAGACGTCGTTAAATGAGCACCTCAAACGGAGAACGCAGTGGACGCTCAACGGAGGCTGTTATCGACGAAAACATAAAAAAGTCCACAAAATAATTTTGAAAGACGGTAAAGTGAAGTTGTTCGAAATAGGAAGCAGTCTAAAGATATCAACTGAATGTGTACATCCTATGATTCACAAATATTTGGGTCTGAGAAAGCTCCGTGCAAAATGGCTGCCACGCGAGCTCACTTGTAACAAAAACACCGACGAGTTGATGATTCGAAGCAGTGTTTCGAGATGTTAAAGCGGAAACATGGCTCAATCCCTACAATCCAAAGTTCAATTGACAGTCATTGGAATCATCAAACGTGGAAAAGAGCAACAGTCAGTTGGTAAGGTAAGGCCATATTTGTAATGTATAATATATATAATATATAATTTTTATTTTCTACCTCGATAAAGGAAAGGCTATCAAAAGCGACTATTTTCATAGCGTCATAGTGGACTGTTTGAAGGACAAAAACGCCGCATTTGAAGAAAAAGAAGGCGCTGTTTCACCAAGACAAGGCACCGTGTTACAAGTTAGTGAAAGCGAAGGCCAAAATCCACGAATTATGCTCAAGATCTGGCCCACAGCGACTATTTCATATTTTCAGATCTCAAAAGAAGAATGCTCTCTGGAAAGAAATTTTCATCGAATGAAAATGTTATCGCCGAAATCCATTCGAACAGGTGCCGGTGTACTCAAATGTATATTCGTAATCTGAGTATCCTGATTTATAGCCGCATAATCTATATAAATTTATCTATTTTGCACCAGGTGTGAGCATGAATGTATATATGTATATACATATACATTGTATAAGGGGAGTTTCTGGATGATGACTAATGACGTATGCTATATCTATTCGAACCCTTATCTGCAACAACAGCGAAAATGCGAATTGGCGTGGCCTCAAGTGCTTAAAGCCAAATAGATATCCGCAAAACTTTATTATTATCGACAAAAATTTTTAGTATAAATAGAAAGCTAAGTAGAGAAACAACGCGCAAACGTGAGTTGAGAATATCTATTGAAACTACGCTGAATAGACTCGTAGTTGTGTGATACTCAAAATAATACATCCCCGTAGTGCAAAGGAACACTGAATATGAGAAGAATTAACGGACTTTTGCTGGGTGCGCTGGTGCTACTTGCAACGACTGTAAGTATAATTTATCAGAAGAAATATTTTCATTTTATTGCATTGTAATTATAACAATTTCTCAATTGTTTTGTAGGTGAGCTACAGCGCAACCGCTCCCGCTTATGATGCCTCCACGAAATTTGATACTGCAATTGAAAACACTGTATTTGAATTCTACGTAAATCTGTACAAATACTTATTTGATGCCTTGGATAAGACTAGCGATCTATTGGAGAGTGTTTTAAAGGATGACACTATTATGCCGAATAACAACATAAACCAAACTAAAGAACTATTACAAAACTATATTGCTGAAACTAAGGAGCGCCGTAAGCCACCACCAAAAAATGTTACTAATTTGGATGGTTTCCTGTGCATCGTCGCCAACATACACACAATAAATTTGTTCGGAGACATTGTGAAGCGTTACAATACCACCTCGCTGCCGACACCCTCCGATGAGGTTAGACTAATTGAGGCGGCATTGAAACGCCATGGCTTGGACGAGTTGATAAATCATTTGAAAATCCGTAAAACGGAATTTATTAATGAATTTTTGCGCAAAATGGATATTGCTGTCACGAATCTGTCGGAGGTGGATAAAATTAAGTGCCACAAGCTGGTGGAATGGTATCAGAATTATCGAAACTCCACTGAAGAACAAAGAGCGAATGATGTCTTTACGCATTTTGCACATTTGCTTGCACGATTTTGAAAGTTGATAATTGTTTTTAACCAAAGCTGATGGTATAATATGAGGTAGAAAAGAATTTCTGCTACAAAAAATAATTGCGATTGCCAACCATCAAAGCGGTTATAATCAATAAATGAATCATATTTGCAGATAAGAATGCTCGTTATCGTTATGGGCTTATCGGCGCCAGTCTAAATGCACAGCTGTTTAAGTTTATCACGTACCAGATGTACAAAAGGTGTGAATGTACTTGTAGAAATAACACCTTATCATGTAATCGAAATATATTAAGAAATACATAATTATTTATTGTCTGACATATGTATGTATGTATTTTTAATCTTTTTCATAAGACCAGAAAGAACCCAAAAAGGCGTAAAGAAAGAAATTAACACAAACTATATATACCATATAACCAGGGGCGAATCTAGAAATAGTTTTCGGGGGGTGCTGGGGTGTCCAATTAGCGTTTACTTGAAACAGAGCCTTTATACAGTTTAATATTATGGTGGACAATTTCAATCTATCTTCCGATCAATCTATCTTAAAGAATGTTCGGCGTAGTGTCGAAAAAGAGTGTCGTCGTTAAAAAGGTTTTACCCAGATTGGTACAACTTTTTCTATATTTATATATAAGCTTGAGTTTACTTCAAATTTACTATTTTCAAAGTAATCACGCCCACGAAATCTTGAAAATGCTGTTGAAGTACTTTCGGGAAGTCTACTTTATCAAGAAACAAAAGTGTTTGAAAGTCAAAACGCAGATAGTGAAGTTCGTGAAGTCATCGTAAACTTACTTCAAGTGAGTCGTGCATCTATCATCGCTTGAAAATCGATCGTGTTAACATCAGAGAGTTAGCAGAGGAGCACAAGATCGATGGCATGATCTCTGATGGCATCATTTATTTTAGCTATGATAACTATTGTATTTTTTTAATTTTCATTGAAATCTAAAGCAAGACATTCTAGCAAATATTTACAGCTGGAACTTGTGCCATAAAAAAATCAAATTAAGTACAGAAGATAAACTGGTTTTTAATACTGGAAATTCTAAAATAAACCAGTGCTGGCTTTGAAAACTTTGAATAAGCCAAGGTAAACTTTTATTCGAAAAATTTCAAAAATTCATCTATTAAATTTCCAAGTTTTTCTTCAAAATCATCCTCTTTCTGAAAGCGCTCAAACCAGTCGATCAATTGATATTCTGCTTGTCTGTCTACTTCACTCAGTGAGTTCACAAAGCCATCGAATACTTTTGCGAGCGCCATTAATGTGTGTTCCATATTCTCACGGAATTGCCTATCTATGCTTTCTGCTCCGACTCTATCGAATGCCCTTTGTAATACTTCACTATCATTCCCATCGTCCATGTCTTCAATATCATAGAAGATTTCACCAATCTCGTCGACCGATGCGAAAATGTCCTCCAATTGTGGTTGTTCTGCAGCGAAATCGATTCTCTCGATATGCTTTAGCGCTTGATCGAATCGATCGATGTACCTATCGATTTCTGTGGTTCTGTTAGGCTGCGCTCTCAGTTCTGCAATTAAGTTCCTCATTAAATTATTCGAAGTGTGTAGTATATCGGTGGACTGATTGGCAAGTATTTCCAATGTATCGAGTAGCAAGTCATTTTTCGCCAAACTTAATTTAGTGTTCGTGTTCTTGCTAGAAGCATTGTTATCTGTGGCTGCGGAGGAACTCTCCTGTGAAAGTGCCGTCTGCGGTTCGTTGGTTTTGGAAATGGCTTGTTGTGGAAATGCAGCCGCAAACTATTGGAAAACATCGCTTTATATGAAATTTGTAGGAGTTATCAGTTTATTTTCCGACTCACCCACGACGCCATGCAACAGCTCAAAAGTAATACAATCCAGCTCGTACTCATTTTATGTGATGACTTTAAGTATATTCGCGTTACGTTCGTTTTGAAAATTCGAAATGAAACTAAATCGGAGCTCCATCCGTGTTAAACTTTTATATTAGTCCCAAGTGTACATATATATATTATATGTATATTGACGTACGTGCGGATAGTACTTAGAAATTTGTTCAACAATAGTTTATAGACAGCTGTTTAGTAGCCCGGTAATGTTCCGGCCAGTATAATTGAATTTGAATACCGTTTGTTGGCTGTACATGATATATATACCGATGCATATACGTCAGATGACTTAAGTTTATTGTTTTGCTGAAAATTAGAAATAAAAAATAAAGTTACACACCACTGGGAAAATTAGAAAAAAGATAAATATTCGGTTGCACCGACGCTAGAATACCCTAAGCATGTAAAAAAAAGTTTCCAAAAAACAACTTAATTCCGATCGTTCACTTTGTATGACATACATATGCTTCGGATGTATTTATTCAGATATTGTAGTAAAGCTCTAGGGAATATTCCATGCGAAATGTCGTGAAGACATATTGTTTGCTAAAATACTTCCCATACAAAAACTATATTCCGATCGCCCATTTTATTAAACAGCTATATGCTAGAGTGACTCGATATCGCCGGTTGCGACCAACGAGCAGCTTCTTCCAGAGAAACGAATTTGAGCAAAGATTCAAAGTGATATCTCAAAAACTCATAAACTGATTCGCGCATATGCAGACAGACTGACGGACTAACGTTCATGGCTCATTCGACACAGCTCGTCACGCTGATCATTTTTATATATTAATTTGATAGGGTCTTCGACGCTTCCATCTGGGTATTACAAACATAATACCCTGTTTAAGGTATATATCAAAAAATATTACAAGCAATTATTATACTAAGTATAGAAAAGTATACAATATTATATACAGACTTTACGGAGGGTGTTTGACACGTTTGTATGTTTTAGTTCCTTTATTGCTAAATGCCTTACTCTATATACTGCACATATGAAATTTGTTTGGATTTTTGTTGTAGGGTAGTGTAACTCGACAAATAAAGGTTTATTAATTCTCTACTCGTTGGTGTAAAATTATAGTAACGGGAGAAATTAGGAGAAGATCCAGTGACGCAATTATTTCCCGTGTGTCGAGAAGCAAGTTATTTTTTGCCAAGTACCTGTACGTTATAGTTGAGCAAATATTAGACGACCAAAACTTCACATACTATATGTAATATTTTGAGTGTAGCATACATTTGAAACCAGCGATCTAATACCGAAAAAAATTTTTTTTTTTTGAACTAAGGCCTCAGATTCATGCATAGAAACTTCACTTCCAATTTTTCAATAAAAAGCTTTTTGGTAAAATCAACAGCTTGGTGTTCCTTGGCGGCTAATAGCAGGTAGGACATCCGTAGATTGCCTTCATCACAAATGGGAGATGTATTTCAGTTATGTGTTTAGTGAAGTGTGAATAATCTCCGAAGAGACTGCTCAAAAAAATAAAAAAAGACATTACACTAGTTTACTGTCATTTTGCGACTATGATATTATAGGTTGTTTCTTGCTAATTTTGGGTTTCTAAAACCGGATGTGTGCTTTTTACCTAACACGTGGGATGTTTTGTGTGGCAGTCTTGGAGTGTAAAGGTCAAACCACCGCCATTTACTGATTTCAAATTCGTAATCAGGACATCCTCAATGACTTGACAGAACTCTTAGCACATCAGTCGCCAAGTTTTCTTTCAAATATGTTGAGCAATTATATTCTTCAGAAGGATTTAGGAAATATTTACTTCAACGTGAAATTTTCGTAAGGGCTGACAGGCGGAACAGAGCGAGATGGAATATCATGCAGGAACCAAATACCAAATATTTAGACTCCGCTACCTATAGTTCACTTTTGATCGGAAATGTCGGTCAATGTGTGTTATATATAACTGAAATTAAGTGATAATTATTTTGTTATTATTGTATGTCAAAAATGGGTTGAATCGGACCGCATACTTATTAAATATAAAGATTTTCGAATTTCCAACTTTCGAACGGGGCTGACTTTATATATGTATATATATGATTGATTTTGCGCTTTAAAATATATTCCTGGCTTTGAATCTTGAAAGATGCAAGAGCCCTTCCTTACCTATTCCAAGTGAGGTTAATATAATGATATTTGTTAACAATTTGCATAGAATCCCCTCAACCATTCTTTCATATTTCAGTTTGCTTAATGTTCTTTAAAAATCAAAAATTCTTCAATTTTAAAACAAGCCTTCTCCAGTGTTTGGGTATATTTAGGAATTTAAATCTCCTGAAGGAATATCTTATTTATGTCTTAAATACATTTTAAATTGAAATTCACGACGAATATCACACATATTCGAAGAAATATAAATTTCACTGAATCGTATAAAAGTTTTCGTTAGGGTTTCTTGAATTTGTTATATATGTATATTAAACATAAATACGTAAGTATTAGAATTACTAATTTAGTGCTTGCGAAAAAATGTACAAAAGTCACCAGAATATTGGCCAAAACTCGTCAAAATAGTTATATTGCTGCTGAAAATCGGATACTGCTTTAAAGCGGTCATAAAACTCTAACAGTTCCAACTCTGTCGTGCGCTCCGCGTCACTAATCGTTGCGTTGAAGTTATCCAAAGCATTCGCGAAATTCTTTACCAACAACCGTCTTGCCTCCGTTAATCTCTGTTCTTGTGCTTCAAAGCCAACTTCCTTCAATATCCTCTCCAGCAAATCGGCTTCTGATTTATACAGCACGTTCGTTTTCATTGCCGCATAATCATCTTCTACTTTTCCTATCTCTCTGACGATGGCATAGAGATCGTCGTCGTAAACAAAGTCAGCCTTCAGATCAATACATTCAATTTGTGCTAAAACACCTTGCAATTCAAGTATTCTGGTTTGCAGTGCAACACTTTTCTGTGGCAATAGTTTTAATTTGTTCAATGTGAGTTGAATAATTGACAGATATCCACCCACGTAGCACTTCGCGTAATTTGCCATTTCCTTGCAGGCCTGCGTGTAGAGAACATCACGACTTGTTAGCGCCGCAACGCTTTCGGAGTCCATCTGCGGTGTTTGCGAAATTTCATCTGTGTTTTTGGACTTTTTGTTTGCTTCGAAAATGGTACACTTTTGCTCTAATGATTTTGTCGTTGTGTTATCACTCTCTTTTGGTGTTGCCTTCAGTATCTCCTTGCCTGTAACCGAGTTATCCGTACTCATTCTACTCACATTCGTTAACAGCTACACTGATTCGCATGTCTCTCATGCAAAGTTATATACGTAACTGTTCGTTTGCTTCGTTTGCCTATCTACGCTCTGAGCTTTATTGCGAAAGCTTGTGAAATAACTTTTTAGTGTGAAATGCATTTCACATTTTGATGCATATTTCAGCTATAAAGTTACAATTCTAATGAACTACCGTTTGGAATTACAAATTCTAATTAACTTGTTTTTGTTTTTGCGCTTCTCTCCTCATCTCGCGCTGAATGAAACCGAAAATCGTGAATCTACTTATATTATATGTACCCAGCTGTTTTTTCTGTGCGACTATATTTCTTGAAAGCTTTTAGTGTTAAGCACATTTCAATTAGTTTCTTATAACAGTAATTAGCATAACTGTGCATTATACGATTTTTCAAAGAACTGAAGCTGTTCGTGAAATCACTAATTTAATCAATATAAACAGATTTTAGGTTAGCATTTTCCATAGAAGTCTGCTAAGCAAATATCTTTAGTTGGTTTAAATATTTTATTTGCATTTTTAATTATTCTCTCATGCTCTAATATAACGTTTTATAACCTAACATAATTTAAACTTAAGAAATAAATAAAAACGTTGTAAACGATATAGGCTTGTTTTAAGTTTAATAATAATTTAATATTTCACAAAATTTAATTTTTTTCATATTTAAAAGTAAGTAATTTTTCAATAGCGATGTGTCAATAGATATTTTACCAAAACCACAGCGTCATTATATTTGTCTAGATCGGATTTCGGCTGTTTGAAATCTTCATACCATTTGATTAATTCTGCATACTTTTGTTTCTCCGCTTTACTTAATTTGTCGAAAAACCTTTTCGCCACTTTCGTAATTTTGTTGGAAGTATTTTTAAGAAAAACGTCCAAACGTTCATTATAGCCATCCAAATCGATTTTGTCAAAGATTTCCTTTAATACAAGAGCATCGTCGTCAGAGATTGCCTCTATAATTGCCAGGAAATCTCCATACAAATCCGCTAGTTCATCGGTAATTTCGGTTTTCTCAATTATCGAAGCCAAATCATTTTTCGATAAATCTTGGCTATCAATGCGTTCCAATAAATTACGCATGCGTGTTAAATTTCCACCGAGACCCATAGACTCTGGTAGCGGATTCATTGCTGTCAATGTGGCCTCAACAAAATCTCGTCCTTCAGTTATAAGCTTGTTGACGTATTCTTGTATGAGCCTAAAGTACCGAATTTGTAGACGATATGTTGGCGTGTTAAATATGTCTGGCAGATAGAAGAACTCTTCGGAGGACTCAACTTCACTTGAATCCTCATCATCTCCAGTTACAGGTACGTGGACGGGTGTTTCATTTTCTGCAACAGTTGCGTTAAGTGCAACAACTCTTGCTACTATTTCCTCGTCATCGTCAGCAGTAAAAGCTTCTTGCGGAAATGCGTTGACATGCTAAAGTAAAAAAATCGTTTGAGAAAAGTCAAAAGCCAATTTTCTGGTTGCTTACCTGTAAGGCCAGATATAGACCACAAATTAAAGCGAGTATCACTGGTACCCTTATGCCGCTCATTTTGTTGCTTGTGTTTCTGTGGAGAGCCTGCATCAAAATGATACGGCTATATGTATATCGCTCGCTTATAAATAAATTATTCACCGATAAGAATAAAAATATACACAATTGTTAAGAAATAAAGTTTACAGAATTACAGGAGGGCCACTTGATAAGTACGTGACTTTTGCGGTGAAATAAATGATAATAACTTTTTAGTGTGATGTGCACACGTACAATGTGGAACGTTTTGAATAACTTTAAATTTTGAGTCAGCTGTGCTTCGACAGATTTGAATTTCATACGACTAGGTGGATCAAAGTTTTGCTTTATATATGTATGAGTAGCTTGTTCTTTAGGTTGAGACGGGATCTTGAACTTAGGAGCCAGTACCTAAGCCAGTCTTAACATTGTTAGGTTCTGTCAATTTTCACGTTAGACCCAGCTATTTTAAGCTTGTACTTGTTGGTGGTAGCCATATAAGGCTCTTGAAGATCGGAGTGAGCATCATGGCATCTGACGTAGAAGGTCCGATTATGCAAGTAAGACTTTAGCAGCAGATAGTAAGGCATGTAAAAATTTTAATTTAAGTTATTTAATAGGTCTAGGTACCAGACCTTGTCAATTGATTTACGGATATCAAGGAGAACTGCAGAACAGTACTTCCAATTTGCCATATCATCAGTTATAAAGTGTTTCCCTACTGGCCACACTGGTGATTCGGGGTGAGTTGTTTATCCGCCAGGAGAGTCATAACACTGCGCAAAAATAACCTTTCCAATATTTTCGAAATAATTACCAAAATTATCTCAGGTTAATTCTATTGAGAAGGTAAATAGCAGAGTCTGCGCATGTCATTAAAGACCTTGACGATCATGCTGATTGCGTTTCTTGCGCTTTAAAGGCTAGTGCATTAAATATATCATAAGCTGGCGATTTGAATCAGAATCAATTCTTTATAACTCAGAGCTTTCTCTGACTATTTTTTTTCTTTACCTTTCTTTCGGTGGATTGTTGTTGTTCCCCTTAATACGAGATGTAGATAACCATTGGGATTTCAAACCAGCCTCGTATATAGCTACGAGACATATTAATTAATATATTAAGACGGAATTATGAAAAACTGGTTTTGATTCATGCAAAATTGTTTTTATTGTTAAAACATAAGCTACCTTCAAGATATTATATTTCTCAGAAGCATATCACTACCAACAAACCAATGCAAACCAGCGAGGAAGAGAACGTGTGTCGAGAGGTCAAGCAAAGTTCGAACCAGCGGTAAATACCGTCTTTGATATCTTCTACGATATAATTGTTAAACTGCTTACATTTTTATGAAATTAATTATAAACGACTTAATGTCATTAAATATAGACAGTAAATATGACACTTGTTGACTTAAACATACCGAATAGGTGAAAAGAACAAAACCTTTAACATTTTTCTCCTGTTTTTTAATATAATTTTTATTAACTTCTTTTTATTTATCCCCTTTTTAGATTAAGACCACGAAACATATTAAATTTCTATAAACATATAAATCAATTAAATACCGGTATAAACAGCTACAGGTAATCGAAAGCTTTTTCGATTTGCCGCCCTTTTATGAAAGCACAAAAGCTCCAACAGTTTTTTTGCGAAAGCATAACCATTTTGACTCATATATTAAATTCATAATCGTCATGTTAACGTCTGTGAAATAATGGTTTCCGACTACCAGGTCATGACATGTATTTTTACTAGCGATCAGTATTGCATCTACTTGTTTGCTCTCGATCAAATGACTTCTCTGAGAAAACTTTAACTAAACTTTAACAACTATTTCGAGGATTTGAAAAAACGTTTTCACAAGTGGGATTACGTTGAAAGGGATGACATAGATTTTAATTAATAAATTAGGTATTTTAAAATTATGTTAAAAAAGTCTTACTATTTCTTGCTCATAGTAGTATTCATAATTTAAACATATATATTACTAACACACATGTGTTATTTATGCTTGTAGTAGTTGAACATTTCATATAATTTCAACATATTTTTAAATTTTCCTTCCAGTGAATTAGTCTGATATTCGTCGTATAAAAGGCTCAAATTTGGAAAAGCTTTGCGCTCTTCATCTCCTAGAAAACGAAAGAACTGATGAAACACGGCACCAAAGTTTCGGTCAGTCGTGTTTACTAAATCATCCACATGCTTGAATAGCACTTGCAGATCAGCTTTATCCAGCACTTTCTTTATAATAACTGTATCACTTGTGGCTTCCTCACTCTTCGCTATGGCATTTAAGTCGACAAACAACTGTGTAGTTCCATCTAAAAGTGCGAGTCTTTCATCGCTTAGCCAGCTATTCGACTCGTTCAAACTGTTCATGTCAATTGACTCCAAAATATTCGTGACGCGCTGGATTTGTGCTTGAATATATTCGGTTTTTTCTGGCAATGCATTCAACTCTTTGAGCAGCCTCGTTATGAAATCGTGAGATAGGTGAATTTGTGTGTGGCAATGTGCTTCCGTTAGGCCAATGGTAAAGTTCATCAGCTGGTCCAATGTTATGACCGTTGTTTCTAAGATGACTTCGATGGGTTCCATTATGAATTGGTTGCTTTAAGTGTTTGCCGTAAACTATAAATATAACAGAAGCTTGGCTTAGAAAAATAACACCAAAGTTAGTAATGTGGGTTGTTTTTTATACGAGTATAAAAGCTTTGGTTTTCTCTGCCGCAAGCTTCTTCGTGTAACCGGCAAACTGTTTGTGTTGTAAACTGCACACAATGCCTTGTTTTTATATCAGCTTCACAAGAATTTCAGGTGGCATTCACCCACCACTTGTGCACTGTAATTGTTTATACTTAAATGTAAGAAATCGCAAAATAAACTTGGCAGCAGTGAGCGAGAGTTGTTGAAGCACGAGCATAAGAATATTTGCTTACTTTGAACCAGTTTCTTCATTTGATGTTAGAGAAATTGAGAACTTATTATAAGAAAGCTGCTTTCAGAATGTGCTGCAAAAACAATTACTTATAAATAATACATATTAGGGTAAACCAAAAAGTTATCAAATTCAAGGGTTAAAAGTAAAATTGAACATTGAAAAAACCATCATTCATAAATATAATACATATTAGAGTAACCCAAAAATTAACCTACCGAATTGAAGGGTTAAACAGAAGGGTTAAACAGGTATAAACAGGAAGAAAACCACCCTCAAGGAAAAATTTTTAGCTTAATTCTGCCAGGTGTCGGTCAACATTCAAAGTTCCCAGTAGAATTAAAACAAAATAAACTTTAGAAAGGTCTACCAAAACATGTTTACCTCTGAATTTTTGCAGGGCTTAAATTTTCCTGAAAGATCTACCTTGTCCGTTCGCCCGTGCAAGCTGTAGCTTTTGTAAAAATTGAGACATCTTGATGAAACTTGGTATGCGCATAGGTAAAAAAAAAAAAAAATAACGAGTGTAACCGAAAACCTATAATTAAGCACTAAATTAAGGTGTAAAACTCAAATTTGGTACAGGGGACCACTGTAGCAAGGAGCTACTGTGTTCGAAAAAATTTGAAAAAGGGAGCATGACCTCCCCTAATATAATACGAGAGGCCTTTAATGGAGCTGAGTTCAAAATTGAACTCTGGACGAGGCACTGCCCACTTTCAAGTGGAATCACATATCTCGAGGTTCGTTATACCGATTTCAATAAAATTTGCTAAGTGACATTAATCTAATAAAACTTTACCCGAATAGTGCATTTGAGGTGATTTATGATTAAAAATTGCTCGCATCGAAACAAAGCTGGTCAAGCCCCCAGGCACTGAATATGTGGACCCAGTTGATAGGTGATAGTTGACTTTTTACCGAAAATGTCGAACAATGTGTGAGATATATGTATAATTGATATTCAGAGAAAATTCTTCGTGATATACATATATAATATCCCTGTGTGTCAAAAGTGGTTCATTTGTGGTCAATACTTCCCTTAGCCCACATATGTATACTTAATATAAAGATTTTCGAACTTCCGCGAGTATATACCGCATATATCAGCCAATATGTGAGTTTTCTTAATAAAACTTATAAATTTTTCTTTCTTAGAACGATGCTTACAATGAATCAAATTGGGTGCAAACTAGCCTTAGAACCAATATAACTCATAAGCCTTAAATACCGGAATGTACTTCCCTGGCTTAAATCCTTGTAAGTCATACTCTTTGGACTTTGTATATTCGGTTATATCCAAACTTAGCTCTTCCTTAGAGTTTTTTTTTTTATTTTGGCCACCCTAAAACATACAAACACCGGGTGATGTAATAGTTTATACCATCTAATCAAATTTCACTCGTACTGGTCCATTTAAAATACGCTTTCGAACTAAATCGTTTGTGTTCGACAGTTGTTTGCTTATGAGGCTTTGTCGTGCGTTTTTTTACCATGAAAAAATAAACAACAAGTTTCCTTAAAAAATTTGTGTGTTCCACAGGGACCACGCCTGGGTATCTAAGTGGCACAAAGAATTCAGTGAAAGCCGTCAAGTCATCGAAATATTGCCTCAAGCGGCTCCTCCATCTTTCTGTGCTAATGACTATAACAATGAAAAGCTTGAAGAAACAGTGCTTGAAAATAGTCGTCTTGGCATCAGAGAGATAGCAGATAATCGCAACAATTCGTTTGGATCGACTCAACACTCAATTTTGGTAAAAGTTTTGTAATGTGTTCATGCAAGACTCGTATCTAAACAGATGAATATTTTTCTTAAACGAAGTCGAGTATAGTTCGCAAGAGAGATGCTCGACAAGCGAGCTGAGGGTCCTTGACACATTTAACGTTACTGGTGGGGTGGTGTGTTAATGAATATGATGCCGAAATTGTCAATCTAGCTAATCTAGCCCGTTTTGAAGGCGATAGTAAAGATTTGAAAATATTGTCTTCTTTCAGTACGGGTCAAGTTTGATCAGATGGTAAATACGCATTCGTTTGAATTGAACTAGAAACCGAACTTTTATTTTAGTCGCATCTAACGCCCTGTGTTTTGTAAAATTACAGCTTCCACGT